GGTGAACAGCCAAACAATAAAATAACATAGATACAAAAAATTTAAAAAACCAGATAAAATCAGATTAAATCATTTTGGCCCAGACAAATTTAAAACACCCCAATAATTTAAAAAGCAGATTAAAATTTACATGTTTAAAAAGGGAAGAGATTAGGCCAAGCCCGCCTGATGGAATAAAAAGGTCTTCACAGCGCGGCGGAAGGTGCGCAGATCCGGGATCCTCCGTATCTCTGGGGGGAGCTCATTCCAGACGGTAGGTGCCCCCACAGAGAAGGCTCTCCCCCTAGGGGTCGCCAGCCAACATTGTTTGGCTGACGGCACCCGGAGGAGTCCCTCTCTATGAGAGCGTACTGGCCGGTGGGAGGCTATTGGTGGTAGTAGGCGGTCCCGTAGATAGCCAGGTCCTAAGCCATGGAGCGCTTTAAAGGTGGTAACCAAAACCTTGAAGCGCAACCAGAAGACCACCGGGAGCCAGTGCAGCTCGCGCAGGAGAGGTGTCACATGGGAGCGCCATGTCGCTCCCATTACCACACGCGCGGCCGCACTCTGCGCCAGTTGGAGCCTCCGGGTGCTCCTCAAGGGGAGCCCCATGTAGAGAGCATTACAATAGTCCAGGCGGGAGGTGACGAGGGCATGAGTGACTGTGCGTAACGAGTCCCGATCCAGAAAGGGACGCAACTGGCGAATCAGGCGAACCTGATGAAAAATCCTCCTGGTTATAATGTACACTGAAGATGGCATTTAATTTCGTTGTAGGAGGTGCAATGACAATAAAGTAACGTAAACTAAGAGGCACTGACGGGATCCCCTCCATTGAGAACCGGGACCGGAGGGAGACGGATCCTCAGATCCTCTGGAGCACAGCTCAACACGCCTGCTTTTCACAATCATTCAAACAAGCAGCTCTTCTCCTTTTCACAATTGCCCTGGCATTAAAGACTCGGCTTCTGAAGGGAAATGGTAGTCCGGGTGTGGACCAATGAAAGCAGAGCAGTGATTACTCCCTGAAATTTGGAAATTACATCTCTTGATGCAGCCTGAAACTGAATTTGCCTTCCCTGAAACCGTATCACGTGGCTGGTTCATATTCCATTTGCAGTCATTTACTGTTGAAAGATCTGTTTCAGAAGCACTGTATATTATCATGCATCCCTGATGCTAAATTTGTGCGTTTGATATTTGCTTCTTATGTGGAATCCTTTGCACTTGTTTTTGTAAGCTCGTTCTGTTATTTTCAGCCTATTTTTCTAAACTGTCCAAATTCATATTAATTACATGACTTCCAAGGCACTCTATATCAGGCCCAATTTGGATAAGCATTCCCTTCACCTCGTCATCCAAATCGTTCATGGAAACACCCAAAATGGGGAACACCAGATTGACCCAAACATCCATAACTCCACTGCACTGAGTGATGCTGCTACTTGAGGCAGAGGGAGGATGCTGGGAGAGGGAAGGGGGCCAGAAGAGCTCTCCCCAGATGTTCCCTGGAGGAAGGAATGACCCTCCCCACTCTTTGTGGGGATGAAAACTATGGGGCCTGGTTCTCTGGTCTCCTGCAGAGGCTTACCTTCCCCAGGACCAAAGCAAGGGAACCCCCACATACACAGGTGTTGGGAGAAGTATCTTGGGGGACCCCTTGCAGCTCCAAAAGCCCCCCCAGCTGGTTAAAAATGACAGAGGCTGGAAGAGGAGTCTTCTGCCTGAGCAGGGAGGTCCCTGCCAGCCACCCCCCCCCCTCTCTCCCCTATCCCTGGCCCCTCTTAATGCTAAGCAAAGGATCAATGTTACCGAATTAATGCCTGGGGAGAACTAATAATCCTGATTTCCTTCCAGAATTACCTCAGTCTGAGACCTTCTGCACAGAGGCTGGAGGAACTAACATGGCTGAATTAAGCCTCGCCTGCCCAAGTCACTCGGAGCCCCCACTCTACCCTCCTGGGCTGGGCTGGGCTGTGGAGAGCAGGCAGTGGGCTCTGGGCTTCCATCCTTGCCAGAACTGGGCCTCCATATCAGGTCCCAGGAAGCAAGAAAGACACCTAGGATTACTACCTTCCTTTATTGTTCCTCACTTATAGACAGAAATCTTACCAAGCTAAAGCATCTAATTGCATCATTTGAGAATTGCCTTCTTAACCCTCTTTCTCCCAACCATCTCAACTTGGCCCTCTGGAATGGAGCCCCTCCCTCCCTCCTGGGAATCCAGGCTACAATCCACCATTGTTACTTATGGGTCATCAGAATATCTCCTCTCCAGACTGTGACCTTGTTTCCTATATCCTGCCCAAATGGGGCCTCCCCTCGTGCCCTGAGGGCAACACTCCTAGCACCCTTCTCTCTTTCTTTGGGCAAGATGGATTTAGCAACCTTCTAAAGGCGTCACCACCACCCTCCTTTGGGCCACTGGTCACCCCAACAGCGGGTGTTTCGTGTCCCTTGTGCAGCCCCGGCCCTCCCTCTATAATTGCACCAAGGGACAGTGAAAGGACCAGAATGGCCCCTTTCCAAGGAAAGGCAAACCTGGCTTGCTGCTGAAGGGACAGCACTGATGGGCCTGCAAAATCCCATGTTTCCCTTGAGAGCGGAAAAATAGGGCACCAACACAATGTGTTTCACTGTTTGCATAAAATAAAGCAGATTTAAGCAAAGGTGGCAAAGATTCTTCAGAGAATCTATTTAGCTATTGATCTGCCAATCCAAGTTGCATAATAATCCCAAATCAGAGTCAGCCTTGATTGCACCGGGCGCGAGAATGCCACACATGCCTTCATTTTCAGCCTAAAAGATCACAGCAGGAAGAGAAACCAGAAGACAGCTATCTAGAGCTCTCAGCAGCCTCAGAAATTCCCCCACACTCCCAGCCCACCCCAATAAGAAAAGCCTCATTCTTCCAAACACATTTACAGCAGGGGCCTCTTCACAGAGAGGAGCCTCCTCTCCTGGGCCAGCATCCATCATCTGGAGAGCCCAAATCTTTGCCTTGGAACTGGCATCCCTTCAGTTTATATGCCATTTACACAACCGCTCACAGCAGCCCTCTTTCTCCTTGTGGTCCTTCTCCATGAAGTAGGCCAAGGGACGGGAAGACTCCCCGAGCCCCAGGATCTTCAGCTTCCTTCCAGGAGTTCTCAAATCTGAGGCAGTGCAGTTATGGCTGTTCTCTGCTGGGTGAAACATCCCCAGATGATTCCGCTGGAAGGATCATTGTCAGCCAATGGACAGTCTTGCAAACTCTTCCATTGTATCATTCCTGGAAGAGAGCACACCTCCTGAGCCAACAGGTCTCCCTTGCCACCAATCTTATGTGTGGCAACCCTGGGCAGCTCTCAAAGATACAATAACACATAAAATAACCATAAACAAGCTATGCAGAAATGTATAATGGCTCAAATAAAGGAGAATAAACCATCACGTACAAATGGGAACAATTCAACACCATTGTTACCTTCACCAGGAGAGGTTGAACAACCAAGAAGAGGCATCTCAAAGAAGCCTTGGATATTGTCTAGTGAACTAAAAGCCTTCTCTTGCACTGGCAGATGTCAGTGTTTGTGAGATCACCATCAGGAGAACACTGAACAAGCATGGTGTGCGTGGCAGTGTTGCAAGGAGAAAGCCACTCCTCCCCAAGAAGGCGGCTGCTGGCTCTGTAAGGATTGAAAGAGACCAGGTGGCTGAGCCAGAAAACTCCTGGAAGAGGATTCTGTGGATGGTTGAGGCCAAAATAGAACTTTTAGGCTTGAATAAAATGGTCATGTTTTGGGGAAAGGCAAACCCTGCATTCCAGCATAAGGACCTTATCACATTATGTGAAACATAGCAGTATCATGGTTTGGTTCTGCTTTGCTGACTATGGACTAGGATGACTTCCACCATTGATGGAACTATAAATCCTGAATCATGTCCCCAAATTCTACAGGTAAAGCCAGGACGTATCCTTGTGAACTGAAAATCAAGAGAAAATGGGTCATGCAGCAAGACAACAATCCAAAACACACAAGTTATGACTAAAGGATGGATAAAGCAGAAGAAAACGAATGCTTTGGAACAGCCAAGTCAAAGTCCTGACTTTAATCCTATAGAAGTGTTGGGGAAGGATCTGAAGCAGGCAGTTCATGTGATGAGAACTCACAACATCCCTGAGTCAAAGTTGTTCTGCCAGGAGGAAAGATCTAAAATTTCTCCAAGCAGATGTGCAGGACTGATCAGCAGTTATCAAAATTGCTTAGTTGTCCAGTTGTTGCTGCCTGATGGGGGCACACCAGTTATTGAATGCAATGGCCGATGTGCTTTTGCACACACAAAATATGAAGCTTTGGATCATTTTCCTCAATAAATCAAGGAACTCTATTCTTTTCGACTCTTCTGTTCAAGTGAGATCTCTTTGTTTACGTCTAGGATTTGTGGAGGGAACAGATCGTGCTTTAAGTGATATTTATGCAGAAATAATGAAAATCCAAAACCTTCACCCACTTTTAAGCACCATTGTACAGCTTCTCCGGCCACTCTGTCCTGGGGCGTCCCTAGGCATGCCAGGGTTTCAGGCCCCCTTGAAAGGGCCCTCCAACTGCCCCCCAGCCCCTCCAGGCTTCTTGCCTCCATCTTTCCTTATGAGGAAGAGGCATGGCTGGAGCAGAGCTGTTGGACTGGCAATACCAGCATGGCTGGTACCTTCCCACCCACACCCACCCCTGCCCCCAATGTCATTACTCCCCCTGCCTGGCCATGCACCATTTCCAGGTGGAAGGAGAATCCCCCCTCCTTAGTTTATGTCTTCTTCCTGGGGACAGTTGGCCCAAGGGCTGCCCCTCCCCATCTCCCCACCCCCACAGAGGAGCTCCATTTTCTCTAGGGCAGGCCTGGCAGAAGCCCCAGGTTTCTACATCCTGCCCCATAGATGGCATCCTCAGGCAGGCTTCATTCTGAAGATAAGTAGGCAATGGGAGGGGAGTTTCATCCTGCCAGCATTTTGGGGGGCAGTTTATTATGCCACAAATACATAGAAGTGGAAGTTTATTTTGCTTGCTTGAGAAAGGATGGCAATGTAAGCAAAAAATATTTTAAAAACAGAATAGATTCCCTTCCAATGTAATTGACCTTTGCTTCTCGACATAATGCTGCCTCCCCGCCCCCCTCCCTCCACCTGCTTCAGCCCTCCGTTCTTTGGCGGAGGAGCTGCTGCGTAGCGTGAGTCATTCTGTCCCGAGGCAAAGCACAGCCTGTAATCGCTTTTTAACTTCCTGGAATGTCAGAGCCAGCAATGAAATTTTACATATGACTCCTCCCCCACCCCGTTGGCACCACCATCGTCACATAAATTCAGCAGCGGCTTCAATAATAACGTTGCCGGAAAAGAGGTAGATTTACAGCCCCAGAAAAATGTAATCAAATTTCTAGCTGGAAAGCAATAAGTCCAAGCGCTGGTTTTCATTTGGAAGCTGGTGAGATCAATGTGGCTTCACCTGCACCGTCTCCTCCCTCCCTCCCTCCCCGATAATTCCGGCTGGGCTCAGGAGGGGCACAAAAGCTTTCATTGCCACAGTCGGGGGGGGGGAGGGAGGGAGGGGGGCAAAGGAAGTGAGCATCACCTGAGTGAGCTTCTGCAGCCCAGAGCATCTTTGTGGCTTCTCCAGAGGGGTTTATTTATTTATCCAAATTATTATTATTTTTTTTAATTTGATTTATATGCCGCCCTTCTCCGGAGACTCAGGGCAGCTTACAATGCGTTAAGCAATAGCCAATTTGACCATTCACCTCAACGAGTGACTGGACAGTGAACAGAATGACAAGTCTTCCCCTTTATAGAGAACTTGGGAGGTCTGTTCTTCATGTGGGGCAGCCCCTTGCCCACCCCAAAATAAGAATAGAACCAGAAACTGGGACACACACACACACACACACACACACACACACACACACACCACCTTCAGAACAGAAAAGGTGCAGCTATGAGCCATTTCAAGGGTTGGCAGCAGAGAGGGCTTGTGGGTGGCACCAGCCTTGAAGCAACACCTGGGTCTTCTGGAGGGGCAGTGCCCTACAAGTCATTGGACCCCAAAAGAAGAAGTCTTCCATACATCCCCATGGAATCCACCTGTTCCACTTGGTCAAACTATGGTTTATTCTTGATTGATCTGCAGGTCATGAAAAGGACCTGCAGCTCCTCTGGGGTGGTTACCCCAGGAATCCCCTATTGTTGTCTGTTCATTTCTTCTTCCTCCTCTTCATCTAGTGGCGATTTGGGTCATCCAGATGTTTGTTCCTTTTTCTGGTTTGTTTCCATGGCTCATCAACATCCTCTAAGCAGGCAAGTGACCAAGATAAAGAACAACTTGGCAAAACAACCTGCTTGTCACACCATTTGCCATGGCAAATGCCGTCCCTGGCCATTGACTCCTACCCCTCACCCTCAAAGCAGCCTCTCAGCCGCAACCAATATTCCTAAGGACCAGCACTCTGTGGCTTGCCCAACCTGCCCATCCCCTTGGCCAGGCCTGTGGGCTGCATGTGGATTTTCAGGAAACAGCTGTTGATCTCCCACAGCGAGGAAGTGCAGAGTGTCCAAGATGAGCCTCTCAGGGTTCCAGGTAATTGACCCATAGCAAGCAATACTCCGAGGCAGGTGGATTCCTCAAAAGATAGCTTGATTGGAAATAGCATATTGGCACATATCTGGTGAAAACTGACTCTGAGGGTTCCCGCGATTTTCACCTAAATAAAAATAAAAGTTTTTCCACTTTCTTAAAACAATGGTCCAATCACGATGCGGACTGGTCACCTGGTGACATCCTTCTTCCGACTAGGTATGAGAATGTCCTTGATTCCCAAGAGAAAGTATTTTGTTTTGGCTCCAGAGTCCCAACTATCTCAATCCCCCCCCCCATCCCTCAGCTCCAGCATGGCAACACTGAAGCTCCAAGATGGCTTCAGTCAGAGTTGGCAGAGCCCTTGGAGAGCTGTAGAAGCTGTAGAAGTCGGGAGTTCTTGTGGTTCCAGGCAGTGACCCATTTGTGCTCTCCGAGGCCTTTACTGTAAGTCTGGAAACGCCAGAAGAATCATTGCCACGGAGCTGCTTCTGTCAGCCCATCCCAGAGAGTAGATGGGTGTCTGTGCTGGGGAAGTAAAGCAGAATTCTTGATTAGCACAGCTCCTCTTTCGCTCCCGGTTAGCTTGCTGGCTTCTGAAATGGGGAGGGGAAAGACAAAGGAGTCTGCCTGCCCCCTACTCTTAAGAAGGCTGACAGACCATCTTGGTTGTGGATACTGTATATCACCACTCACCTTGTGGACACGAGAATCCCAGGTTATCGCCCTAGGGAGGCAGATCCATATCTCGAGAGAAATCCAGTAACCAAAATTTTCTGTTAATCTCTTTTTTAAAAATAAAACAGATTCTTCGATCAAACCAGTGAGCCATACTCAGTGAGCCATACAGTACAAGTAAAATCCATCCTCTGGTCTAGGCAAGTCCAAACTAAATTGAACAAAATAGAATTTCAATTCCTAGTTTATTTAAAAATTAAGTCGGGAATAGACTGAAACAGTTGCTTTTTAAAAATGAAATGAAACCTAAAAGTTAGCAAGCTTGAATCTTTCGGGTCTTTTAATGTAACATAGGTGGGGAGGTACCAAGGTCGTCTTTATTCATGACTTTCATCAAGGAGGGGGAGGAGGGGTGGGGCCAGCATATAGGGGCAGTCCAACCTCTGCTTAACAGTCCCTTTTGTGCTGCTTTCAAGCCCCCCAAAGCAGGCACCTATGGACCCCCCTCCACCAGCCATCCAAGAACAGTGCCCAGTTGCTGAAGAATATGCAGAGAGAATGTGGAAACTTTCTGGCAGGCTCTCATCTCCTTATTTCAGCCCTTGGGATGAAACCCACCACCATTGTGGATCGGGACTCGTTACGCACGGTCACTCACGCCCTTGTCACCTCATGCCTGGATTATTGCAATGCTCTCTACATGGGGCTCCCCTTGAGGAGCACCCGGAGGCTCCAATTGGTCCAGAATGCGGCCGTGCGGGTGGTGATGGGAGCAATGTGGCGCTCTCATGTGACCCCCCCTCCTGCGCGAGCTGCACTGGCTCCCGGTGGTCTTCCGGGTGCGCTTCAAGGTTTTGGTTACTATCTTTAGAGCGCTCCATGGCTCAGGACCAGGGTACTTACGAGACTGCCTCCTGCCACCAATAGCCTCTCACCGACCAGTTCGCTCCCATAGAGAGGGACTCCTCAGGGTGCCGTCGGCCAAGCAATGTCGACTGACGGCCCCCAGGGGGAGAGCCTTCTCTGTGGGGGCACCTGCCATCTGGAACGGGCTCCCCCCGGAGTTACGAAACATCCAAGACTTACGCATATTCCGCCGTGCCCTGAAAACATTTCTATTCCAACAAGCTGGTCTGGCCTAACTCTCCCTTTTAAATTGGCTTTTAAATTGGGTTTTAAATGTTTTTTAGATAAATTGGATGTTTTAATTTGTTTTTTGAGCCTAAATTATTTAATCTGTTTTTAATAGTTTTTTAACTTTTGTATGTCTTCGTATTTTATTTTGGCTGTTCACCGCCCTGAGTCCTTCGGGAGTAGGGCGGTATACAAATATGATAAAATAAATAAATAAATAAATTGTCCAGTGTGCCTGTAGACAGAAGCCCCCCCCCCCCCAAGCTGGCTGGCTCTACCAGCATTTTGGAGGCACTAACTTCTCCCATTAAGCATAATTAAATCTGTTTCTTGCAATACATCCTTTGTGAACGCTTCTCCCAGGACTGCCATTAACAGATAATCCATATGCTTCAAGAAGAGTTTATCATCAGCTCATTACCAAAGAGAAATCTCGGGAGAAAATATTCCAAGGCTTAAAACTGGCTTCAGCGAGCAGGCGCTTTGCCAAAAGACTTTAACACCCTCTCAGTTTATGATGTGTGGCTTTAACGTTACAGAGGCTCTTAATGTTACCAGGGGGGAAAAAATGACACCAGCCAGCACAATATGTAAATAAATATATAAATATTAGAATGCTGGAAAATGCTCCTGAGCTCTGAAAAATGGATGTCAGGTGGCCTTTGGCTCTCTGAGCGGATGGGAGAGGCTGAGCATGCAGCTAAGGGCCTGGAAACATTTAGATACTCATGTTTTCAAAACAGGTTTTTTTAAAGAACCAAATTCCCCCTGAGAAGGAACAGCCTGTTTGGCCTTTGGAGCCACAGGGAAGCCAGCCAGCTGCAGCACGGAGGCTTTGATGTCCAAGGCATCACCTGCCATCTTGGGACTGAAAAGCTCTGGTGGCACATTGGTTAGAATGCAGCACTGCAGGCTGACTCTGCCCACAGCCTGGAGTTCGATCCCGACCTGCTCAAGGTTGACTCAGTCTTTTATCCTTCCGAGGTCAGTAAAATGAGGACTCAGATTGCTGGAAGCACTATGCTGACAGTGTAAAGACTGTGGAGCGGTATATAAGTCTAAGTGTTATTGCTAACTGCAATTGCCAGACCCAGAGGGAGAACAAAGGCCCCTCTCCCTGGCCTTCCCAATGTCAGCTCCAGCTGTGGGTCCTTCTGGTGAAAAAGTCGTGAAGCAGGACCAGACTTTCTTGGCTCTGGCAGCAGCCGAGGCCACCACACCGGTCTCACCCGACAAGCAGCACCAGCATGCCAAGGGGAAAAGCCAGGGTGGGGAGGGGCCAGGGGAGGGGAAGGTCTTAGCCAGCTGCCTCCTGCCAAGGCGCTTGGCGTGTTTGATCCAGAAGAGAGCGGCATCAATATTCCACAAGACTGCAACACATTAAAAAATGATGAGGCCAGCTTTGAAGCCGCAGCACCTGTGCCTCCCTCAACCGCTCACAGGAGGAATTGGGTTTTTAAAATGGAGCCCTTGACAGCTGCATTTGTTGTGCAGCCGATAAACAGGCTGAGGAACATTTGGGCGCTCAAATCTTTCCATCAGCAACAGAGGCTGCTCTGGGCAGCCTAAAAAGCGGGAGGGGAAAGCAAATCTTTTCCTGCAAACCAACAGAGAAGCAGAGCAGCTCCCAAAGGAGGCCCAGGCCCACCAGAATCCCCATCAGCCTCCCCTCCCCTTGTCGGAATGCCAAGCCCATATGGCTCCTCCACTGTTCTTACTTTCTGGAGGGGCTCATACTTCAGGCCCCTCAGACTGCTGCTCCAGGACAGTCCGGACAATATTCCAGCAGCTGTGGGGGCTTTGGTTTTATTGAGGTGGTTTAAGATTCAGGGGTGGGGGGGAAGGACCCCCAGGCAGAGCTGACCCTCGCTTCTTCTTTTGCAGACCCATCTTCCCTTTTCTCCAATCCCCATCCTGGCCCTTTCCCTCCAAACTGAATCTGGGCACCTGCTGCACCTGCCACTGGCTCCGTCCTTCGGAAGGAGTTCTGCCCCCAGGCCTGCCCACCGGCCAGCCAGCCCACCCACACCTTCAGATTTCAGGCTGGGCTTAAGCCAAGCGCTCTGGGGTTACTTCGGATTTTGGGGGCAGGAGCTGGCAGGCTTGAAGCAGCCAGGAAGGCACAGGGTGGGAGCTCCTCTGCCCAGCCTCCACCACTGGACCGTGTCTCCCACCCTCCGTCCAGCCCCCAGGGACTTCTTGGGAAGATGGGGATCTTTTCCAATGTAGCAGCAGCGCACAAGCTTCTCTCTCTCTCTCTCTCTCCCTCTCTCTCTCTCTCACACACACACACACATAAACACACACACACTCAGCCCCTTCTGCTGCCTGCGAGCACCATCCCTGCGTGGAGGTGTGAGAAAAGGAGGCGGCAGAAAAGAGGAAAGGAGGAGCGGCAGAGGAAGGCAATAGAAGAGCGGGCGCCGCTCCGAACCCTTTGCGGGACTTCCCCTGCAGCCGCCTCATCCCCCACCCCACCCCACCTCCGAGGGGCGTCGGGCTCAAGTTTGGGGGAGCTCTCTGCGGGGCGGGGCCGAGGGAAGCTCCGCCCTCGGGCCCAGAGTCATCTCCGACTACAAAAAGCCGGGAGGAAGCCAAAGACCCCCGCCCTCCCCCCCCCGCCCCGGGACTCAGCTTTTGGAGGGGGCGCCGCGCCAGGCTCCCCCAGGGCTCTGCGCCCCCCAGAAAGAGCGGCGCCGAAGGAGGGGCCCGGTCCCGGGATCCTCCGGGGAAGGGCCGCAGGAAGGCCAGGGCGAGCCCCTCGGGGACCGCGCTGGACCTCGTTCCGGGCGCCGCTTCTCTCTCGCCCCCCGTCGCGGGAGCCGGGCAGGGGCGGCGGGCGCCGGCATAACCTCTCCCGGCGCCTTTGGTGCCCGAAGCCCGCGGGGGCAGGACCGGGAGCTCGGGGGGGGCGCCTCTCGCGCCCCGGGGCCGCCCCGTCGGAGGGGAGGGGTGCGATTGCCGCTGGCCAACCTGGCCGACAGCGCAGCTGAAGCCCCCGGCGTCTGGGCAGCCGAGTCCCGCCGATCTTGGCTGGCCCGAGCACCGGCCGCTCCTTCGCCCGCCGCTCCAGGACAGACGACGGCCGCCTCCCCGGCGCAGCCCCCGCCGGCCAGAGACCGGCAAAGCCCCGGGAGAGGCGGGGCGGTGGGTTGTGCGGGGAAGAAGCTCAAGAGACGCAGAGCTACGGGTTCTCCCCCTCCCCCATTTCCCCTCCTCCGGTGGGACCGGGGCGCGCGCGGGACGGGTGGAGTTGGCCGACCAACTTTGTGGCTAAATGGGACATAGAACATAGAGGGATGCAAGGCCACCTGGGGGTAATCTAGTCCAACCCCTTCCCAAGGCAGGAATCCTTACACCATCGCAGGCAAATGGCTGCCCAAACGTTTCTTGAAAACCTCCAGCTATGGAGCACCCAGAACTTCCGGGAGGCGAGCCTTTTTCTGATTAATAGTTCTCACTGTCAGGAAATTCCTCCTTATTTCCAGGTTGAATCTTCCTCTGACAAGGCCAAGCTGTTGCATCTTGTCCTGCCCTCAGGTGCTTTGGAGAATAAGTTGACTCCATCTTCTCTGTGACAGCCCCTCAAATATTGGAAGGCTGCTTTCATGTCACCCCTAGTCCTTGTCTTCATTAGACTAGACACAGCTAGTTCCCTTAGCTATTCATCCTACGATTTAGCCTCCAGATTCTGAACGTCTTTCTTGCTCTTCTCTGCATTTTTTTTCTAGGGTCCCAACATCTTTTTTGTATCATGGGGACCAGAACTGGATGCAGTATTCCAAGTGTGACCTTGCTATCTATCTTCCAGATTCCCTTGGCAATTCCCTTCAGTTTGGTGTCAAGATGAGCCTTGGTGGCCCAAGTGGTTAGAATGCAGTACTGCAGGCTACTTCTGCTGACTGCCAGCAGTTCGGGTCTCTACCGGCTCAAGATTGACTCAGCCTTCCATCTTTCCGAGGTCCGTAAAATGAGGAGCCACATTGTTGAGGGCAATATGCTAACTTGTAAACCTCTTAGGGAGGGGCTGTAAAGCACTGTGAAGCGGTATATGAGTCTAAGTGCTGTTGCTATCTGAAAATGTGTTGAGTTCCCCTTCTATTCCCTCGTTTAAATCAGCCATGTTGAAGAGCATTGAGTCCAAGACAGAACCTTGGGAGGGTACCCCAGTGCATACTTCCCTCCACGTAGATGTAGTTCCATTGAGGACTACACATTGTGTGTGGTTGGGCAGCCAGTTATGAATCCATCTGTGGTGATGCTGTCTAACCCATATTTTTCTAACTTACTAAGAAGTAGGCTATGGTCTACTTTGTCAGATTCCTCACCAAATACACTATGTCCACAGCATTTCACTGGTCTACTAATTTAATTGCTTTATTAAAGAAGGCAATGTTTTAACGAACCATGCTGGCTTCTAGTAATCGCCTTGCTCGTTTCTAGATGCTCACAAATCCTTCGCCTGATTATCTTTTCCAGGATTTTCT